AAGGAGGAAATAAAAGAAGGGAGGAATAAAATAAAAGAAGGAAGAAGTGTGGAAGAGAGGTAGGGAGGGAAGAAGTGTGGAAGAGAGGTAAGGAGGAAAGAAGGGAGGAAGACAGCGAGGAGGGACACAGGGAGGGAAGGAAGGAAAAGGAGGAGGAAGAAAGGAAGGAAGGAATGAAGGAACGAAGGAAGGAAGGAAGGACAGAAAAAAATAGATCTACTGTGTTTAGGATTTAATAGTAAGTCTCTGAACTTTAACAAATAATTTTTTTTTTGCACTAGCTCATTTACTCATAAAAACAATAATTCCTTTATAGTGATCTTAAATCACAAGAAAAATAATCCTGTAAATGCCACCACGCACTGTACTGACAGTTCTTTGCTTCCAAAATTGTGCTTCCTGTCTGACCTCTATAACAATATAGTGTTTTATGTGGGGATTGTACAGCTGAGGATAAGGAAGTTCTGGCTGTTCTTTTTGTTTTGGCACATGAATTACCATATTTTAATGAAACCATTATCTTTTTGTTTTCCCTTTTTATATTATGATTGTAACACCTCTGTTTCTCTATCTCTGGGTAAAAAAAGAAAATGAAAAATTCAGTCAATAATCCAGATGTTTTTAATTTTCTTATGGATGAGTTACTGTGAAGATAATACATCTGGGTGAATGACAATGTGGCTTTTATACAGATTTAGAAACAAATGGAGACAACTCTCCTCTCTAAACTTGACAAGACCAATTTCCTTCATGAGAACATTAAATATTTACATTATTATACTCCAAAGCAAGAGATTCATGCTTCAGTGGTGCTGAACAGGAACAATTCTTTATTAAAATGCTCCTATGAGGGGTGGAGGGTGCTAATCTGTTTTTGTATTTTCTACAGATTAGTTCTCAATTTAGAATATTAGATATTATTTGAATCAGATATCAAAGAATGTCTTTTTAATGAAATAAAGAGGATGTTAATGACTAAAATCTGTTGGTACTAATACAAGTTGCACTAGAGTAACAATAATAATGTGTGATGGTTAATTTTAGGTGTCAACTTGACTGAATTAAGAAATATCTAGCAACCTGGTAAAGCATTATTTTTGCTTGTGTCTGTGAAGATGTTTCCAGAAGAGACGAATATGTGAGTCTGAGTGGAGAAGATGAGAAGATCTTTCCTCAGTGTGAGTGGGCATCCAAAAAGGCAAGACCAGAAAGAACAAGAACAGAGGAAAGGTGAATGTGTGCACCCATCTGCTGAAGTTGGAATATATTCTTCTCCTATCCCTGGACAACAACTCCAGGCTCCCCTATCTTTGGAGTCCAGAACTTACACAAGTGGTCCCTGAGTTCTCAAGCCTTTGGTCTTGAACTAAGAGTGACATCATTCATTGGCTTCCCTCATTCTGAGGCCTTTGGACTTGGACTGAGCAATGCTACCAGAATTCCAGGGTCTCCAGCTTGCAGATGGCCTGTTACAGGATTTCTTAGCCTCCGTAATCATGTCAGCCAACCTCTCTAACAAGTGTCCTCTCATATATCTGTATCTGTATTTACAAATTCTGTCTCTCTGGAGAACCCTGATTAACAAAACATGGTCATATAAATGAACTGACTGCAGAGTCCCTTCTTACAACTCAAGTCATAGAAACTACTTAATTTTTATTCATACATTTTAGTTACTTAACATATCCCTTACTAATTTCAAATTACACATCACAGTTTCTAAGCAGCTCATTTGTACACATATATCAATGTAATCAGAGAGCAAATTCATGAATTCTTCATATAAATATGAATTTATATGAAAGTCTCATAAAAGTGTGCAAGTATGTAAAAAATATCAACTTCTAAGTCAATAACAAGAAAAAGGGACCCTGTAGAAAACTCGAAATTTGAAATAAAGCAAAGTATTCTTTGGCTAAAGCTAACCTTCTCTTAAACATTAACACGTGTTTACTAGCACACTTCTTGGGGAAATGCACCACCACCTATCTGATATACAAAACTAGGAAACTCCTGAATGCTCTTGAAATACCAGATGCTTTTCTTTTCATAAGAGTTCATAACAACTCATAACATACTTGCCCTTTCCCCCTGGAATCAAACATCAATTTGATAGCACCTAAAGAAAGAATGGTTGAAATTTTATTTTATTTTATTTTATTTTATTTTATTTTACTGAGACAGAGTCTTACTCTGTCGCCCAGGCTGGAGTGCAGTGGCGTGACCTCGGCTCATTGCAACCTCCACCTCCCGGGTTCAAGCGATTCTCTTGCCTCAGCCTCCCAAGTAGTTGGGATTGCATGCACACACTACCATGCCTGGCTAATTTTTTTGTATTTTAGTAGAGATGGGGTTTCACCATGTTGGTCAGGCTGGTCTTGAACTCCTGACCTCGTGATCTTCCCACCTTGGCCTCCCAAAGTGCTAGGACTACAGACTTGAACCACCGTGCCCAGACCTTCAGTATCGTTTTATAACTACTTATCACAACACACAACTTTAAAAATGATAAATTGATTTTTTCTATGCAAATGAATAGAGATCCTAACTAGTTTCCTGTTAGTAGCCGACCTCTTCATCACCTATAATGAAATTATTTTACAAAGCACAAAACGATCTAGCAATCCAGCTACTAGCTACCTATCTACCCATCCACATGTATTTGTGTAGTTCAATAAGACAGAATACTAAACAAAAGTTGTAAAATCAAACGGGGTGAGGATAATGGAAATGGAAAGAATCAGTCATTTTATTAGTAAAATCCACGTTTTCCATGGCAATTAACCGTCACTCCAACCTGATTACAGTGACAGCACATTGACACACGTGGCTATTAATTCCCTTGGAACAATACATTAAAGAAAAATTGCAAATTCTCATGGAACTCAGCACCCACCAGGGACCTCATATGCTTCTGTCACAGGCTTCAGAGAGCTTTTTTGTAAGCCTGAATACACTAACTAAATACATCCACACAGGCTATTATGTACAAAGGTGTCTATAAGAAAAAGTAAAATAATTTTATAATTTTATTTGTGAATGTGCTAGTTTTCTTCAGTGAGTTTTGGCACAGTCACCTTGAAGAGAGAAAAACAGAACTCTTCCACAAGCGTTTGTGGCAGGTCACGTTTGTGTGGGAAGTAATGCCCCCATTTTGACCAGATAAGAGAAATTATCTGAAAGGTGACAAAACATTTTCCAGTTCATGACCAAGAAAATAACTGTTAAAATTTTCCTGGCTAATAGGGAATACATAAATACTGTAAACATTCTTGCAGATGCAATAATTCTTCACTTCTTTTTATGTATTTCTACACATAGCATGGATTGTTCTTGAAATTCATTCTTATACTTTGTATTTTCTAAGGAGTTACAAATCTGAGTTTAAATACGTAATTTTCCCCTTAGTAAATAAAACTGGAGGGAATAGAAAGTTGTTTTCTGATTTTCATCTTATGTAAGGAAAGTGTCCTCTGCTCTGATTATTCATTTTATATTTCATATTACAAAGGATGTAGAAAACATTTTTTTCTTTTTTTCTTTTTTGTGTTTTTGAGACAGAGTCTCGCTCTGTTGCCCAGGCTGGAGTACAATGATAGGATCTCAGCTCACTGCACCCTCCGCCTCCCGGGTTCAAGCAATTCTCAGCCTCCCGAGTAGCTGAGATTACAGGCATGCTCCATCACGCCCGGTGAATTTTTTGTATTTTAAGTAGAGATGGGGCTTCATCATGTTGACCAGGCTGGTCTCGAACTCCTGACCTCGAGTGATCTGCCCGTTTTGGCCTCCCAAAGTTCAGGAATTACAGGCGTGAGCCACCATGCCCAGACAGAAAACACATTTTTAAAGAACAATAGTCGAGGACATAATATAAAAAGTATAATTTCTCAGAATCAAACATTTCTGAATCACCAAACACTGAATTTGAGGTTTAGTCATTCAGTTAATTGTTTACATGAAAATCATTTTTACAATCAGAGCTATTTTTTTGCAAAGTATTCTTACTAATTTTTAACCCAAATTTGATATTCTGCCCCAGATGCAGAGAAGGTGAGAATACTGAAAACATGTATATAGAAAGGTTGATCTAGTTCATTAAACTAAGCGGGACTGAACTAAAATATGTACATTTGAAGGCTGTAAGGCTCCCACGGCTCATAGCTGCTTTCAGTGGGTCAAATTTTTTTAAATCTCTATACCTGGTGAGGAGGTAAATGGCTTCTAGACAATGTACTCGCTCTCATATATATAGCCACCCCTCAAAAGAAGAAGCAGAAAGAGTTATTGTTGTGGTGGTTGTCTGCTTATTTCAAAGTTTATAGTTGATCCATTTAATATGAAAATTTGTTTCCCAGGAAACGCTTAGTGGGAGGACTATAGAGAATAAACAAAATAAATTAAATGAATAAATTACATATATAATGACAATTGTTTTGAAGAAAAATAAATTTATCTGCCTTTAATGCTAGGCAGAATATGTGGCAGAATATATTAGATATTATAGAACACAAGAAGGTGGCCAGAGAGTCCTATGAGAGGAACAGGTCTTCATAAAAGGACTCTGGGAGCAGTGTGCAGGGTGTATCAAAAAGCAGAGAGAACAGAGATGAGTGATTAGGAAACTTTAAATCAGGACAGAGGATGATGCAGCTGCCAGAGCTCAAAGGCAAAGGGAATACTGAAGGTGGAATGAACCCAACAGACACTTCAAAGGAAAATCTGAGACTTAGTAACTTACCAGATATAAGAAACAAAGAAGAGAAGATAAAGAGGTCTTTAGTGCTTTATACCTACAGACCAAGAGAATGGTGGCATCAATGTCACTTATGAAGACATTATTAATAACAATTTAAAAATTACTTATTTTTACTGAAACCTGAACCACTCGAATCCTGAGTTTGTGTCTGATCTGCTGGTCATCGCTCAAAAGTTTCCTCCAATCCTTGCAGCATTTTGGAACATTTCTTTAATATTTACGTGCATGCTAGGAAAATGCTCACCAGTTTGCCACCAATGGTCTAAGACAGGTACTCTGAAGACATTTTTGGACCATTCCAGGGTCTCTACATCACATCGTTCTCCAGCCACAAATAATGTTTTGAACCTGAATATGAGACAGTGAATTCAAATTATTCCTGGAAAATAAATCAATATAATTGTATTTACATTTTAAAAACATTGTTTAACCACACTCATTATGTCAGAGGAATACAGCCATATAACCAATACATCAGACTGTATAATGATGAGAGTCATTTCTTGTTTGGGCCCAAATGTAACCAAACACACATCACAGAATTGGAATGAGGTACTTCCAAAGTAGAATTCACAGCTAGCACTTTTCAGTTTTTAAAAAAGCAATTGAGTTGATCTCTGTAATCAATCTATCATGTTGATCTAATGATCAAAGATAAAATATATTTCACCTTGATATTGTCCCTGCTAATTTTAGCTCCAAATTTGTTTGCTGAATTCCAAGGAAGGGTATACACAAAAAATACATACATAAGTATCGGTTAAGGCAGCAAATATTCTTATAAATATGAATTTGTTCCTTCTTGTGAGTTCCTCTGATAAAAATTACTTTAATTTCAAGTACATATTTTTCCTATTCCAAGGACATATATAGGAGAAATAGCTAGTGAAGAAGTAAGTACCATTGTGGCCTTGGAAGTCAAAAAGGTTCTACAGTCAAAAGGAATACAAGAGTACTAATAGATGAAGGAGAATAAGCATTTTTGGCAGAAAGCACCATACTACAGAATGGAAAAAAATAAAATAGAAAAATACAATTGTGTTGACCCAATTAGTGGTTCATTGAGAGCATGGGTGTTTTGTCATTTTGTTTTTGTTTTTGTTTTTTTTTCCATTTTCAAATGTCCTCATGACCTGTTTCTATATATATGTATATATAAAGTGTGTGTGTGTGTTTGTGTAGAGTTAATTCATTTATCATCAAAGTAAAACACAAACAGTTGACAAACAAAAACCTGTCTACTGATCCTGAATAATGTAGTATATTTTACTATTCCCTTAATTTTTCATATCATTTCATAAAGATTCATGGAGATTCAAGTACTTCTACTCCTATGTTCCAATAACATTCTGTTTCTGTCTTTGCTATAAACATGTATCTCATTGTAGAATTCTTTTGTTTTTGTCTATTTCCCACACTGCACTATGAGCTCCTTAGGAACGTGTATCCTTATAACTCCAAGACCAATCAAAGTACATGAAATTTTTAGGTATTTAAACATTTCTAGATGCTCAGAATGATAAAGGGCAGAGGTGGGGAGTTAGCAAAATAAACACCGGTTTGACTTATTCTTCTAAGTAAAAGAGGAGGCATGTTGGTTTCTAAGAGTGTGGAAATTGAGAAAAAACAGTGACTTAAGGAGAGCAAAATTCTGGAATTACTATTCTAGGATATTTTCAGTGTAAAACATGAATGTGAAAAGACTTGAGAACAGCCAGTTGTTTTTTTATGGACTCAATCAGTGACCTGGGAGGCTAACCAGGGATAGCACAGATTGGGGTGTGATATAAGGGGTGGGAAATCAATGCTGGAAAAGCTGTCTGGAAACTCTAGAATAGGCAGGAATTATAGGAAGCAAGGCAGCAATAACCAGAATAAAAGAAAACTACAAGGAAAAATAGTGAGGTAAATGACTAGAAGTCACATAAGAAAAAGTTTGATGAAAATGAAAGCAAGGTGAGAAAAACAGGGTGTCATTATGGGCAGAAGGCAATTTCAAACTTAGAGATCTTGAAAACCTGTCTGTTCTGAAGGATGATAGTATTTATGGTAGCTGAAGTCTAACAGTGGAAGACACAGAGGGAAATAAGAGTATTTTGATAGAAGGATTCTCTTCAAGATAGTATTAAAAATCACTCAAGGATCACAGAGGTGGAGAGTAAAATGAAAGTCTGTGACTTGTTGATTAAATAGGCTAAAGGGAGGTCTGAAGAGTGGAGAGATGGCATTACAAAGAGATAGCATGAACTTCAATAGAAGATGGGCCACAAAACAAACAAAATTGTCAAGTTCTCATGTCACCAATTTTACTTTAACATCTTCCCTAACTTTTATAGATAATCTTGGCCCTGAAGGTGCATTTGACCGCAGTAGTGAGAAAAAAAGTAACAGTTTAATTATTCTACAGAAAATAGAGGTTATAAACAGCTATTGAAAATACACAATAATTAATTTTTGAGTATAAATGAATCACTGATAAATGATGTCTATATGTGAAGTGCAATCACCTAGAATTATTCATGGTAATTTTCATCTATAGAAGATGATACCTTTATATCTATAAGGGTGTCAGAAGAGGTTTTAGTTAAATTGTGATAAAACATCCAATGTGCTGTTACTAGATCCACACTCGTTTTCTGAGAAAAGAAAAAAAAAATCATCTGCTAATATAAAGATATTCAGAGAGTAAAATTATCTTATTACTTTTTTTTTTGCAATAATGTAGTTGGAGCCATGAGGATGAACCAAATTGGTGATATAGTTAGGATATCTGTTCCCTCCAAATCTCATGTTGAAATGTGACCCCCCCCACAACCAGTGTTGAAGGTGGGGCCTAGTGGAGAGTCTTAGTGTCCTCCCCATGGTAATAAGTGAGTTCTCACTTACTCTACTTGTTCACATGATAGCTGGTTTTAAAAGCCAGGCACCTCGTCTCCTCCCTCTTGCTTCCTCTCTTGCTATGTGAGATGCTTGCTCTCCCTGAGTCTTCAACCATGATTGTAAGCTTTCTGAGGGCTCACCAGAAGCAGATGTGGCACTGTGCTTCTTGTACAGTCTGCAGACCCATGAGCCAAAATAAATCTCTTTTCTTTATAAATTATCCAGCCTCAGGTATTCCTTACAACAATGCAAAATGGGCTAATACATTGGTATGGTTCAATGGAAATATAATGTTAGCTACAAGTCCAAGAAATATATCTAGTTTAAAATTTTCTAGTAGCCACATTCAGAGAAAAAAGAAGAATAAGGTCAAATTAGTTCTAATAATATGTTTTGTTAAAATACATATATCTCAAATGTTATTATTTCAACACGCAATGAATATGAAAATTACTTGTGAGATCTTCCAGTCTTTTTTTAATACCAAATCTCAAATCGGGTTTGCCACATTTCAAGAGCTCAATAGCCACGTGAGGGTATTTCAAGAGTTCAATAACCACATGAGGCCAGAGGCTACCATATGGGACAGTGTAGAGGCAGACCATGACTTTCTGAAGAAGCAACAGAATTCTTACACTGGCCTGGATGAAGAAAAATTGTAATTCAATACTATGTATTCAATTCCTGCTCAAATCATTATGCTGATAATGATTTGTATGCATGCACATGTGTGGGTATGCAAGTGTCACGGAATGCAGCTAAGACAATCTATTACTTAACGTTTTATAAGTAAACTGTTATCTCAACAGATTTCCAAAATTTAAAGTATGATTGGTTTAATAATTAGGCATTGTTATAGGACTTCACATAATGGTACAATCCACTGTCAAAAATAATATTTGAGTAGCTGGCCACTTGTATATTTCTCCACTGCATATTCAAAATTATCTAGGAGCAGTTCTTTAGCACAATAAATGCCAAAGGTAAAATTTACATGTTCTGATATAGACACAGAAGCATTATTTTAAATTTCAGATAGGAGAGTAACCTATTACTAGTCTTTGTTAAGAAATTATTTGAATAATTTTTGTGAGTACCCACTAAGAGTATGCAATGCTGCTAGGGTAATCTTCAAGCCTTTGAGAACAAAGAAGGGGATAAAAAGTAAGGGCGAAAATGGGAGAGCAAGGAAGGGAATGAATAAGAGGCAGAGACTAGGGGGAAAAAAGCACACAATTTTTTGACAAACTACATATACATTTGCAATTTGAGATAAATTTAAGTAATCAAATGTATGTATTTGTAATTTGAGATTAAAATTTGATGACCAAAATGACCTCATCTGAGAGAATTGTTATAACAGAATGAAAAAATTGTTTAAACATTAAATGATTAAAGTAGGTTAAAGTATAATAAAGATTAGTGTAAAGTTTTAATGTTTAAAATGAGGTTGACTTCACCGAGAAAACACCAAATGGCGGATGACGCCGGGGCAGCGGGGGGGCCCGGAGGCCCCTGTGGCCCTGGGATGGGGAACCGCGGTGGCTTCCGCGGAGGTTTTGGCAGTGGCATCCTGGGCCGGGGTCGCGGCCGTGGACGGGGCCGGAGCCGGGGCCTGGGCCGAGGCCGCGGAGCTCACGGAGGCAAGGGGGAGGATAAGGAGCGGATGCCCGCCACCAAGCGGGGCCGCTTGGTCAAGGGCATGAAGATCAAGTCCCTGGAGGAGATCTACGTCTTCTCCCTGCCCATTAAGGAATCTGAGATCATTGACTTTTCCTTGGGGGCCTCTCTCAAAGACGAGGCTTTGAAGACTGTGCCGGTGCAGAAGCAGACCCGTGCTGGCCAGCGCACCAGGTTCAAGGCGTTTGTTGCTATCAGGGACTACAATGGCCACGTCGGCCTGGGTGTTAAGTGCTCCAAGGAGGTGGCCACTGCCATCCGTGGGGTCGTCATCCTGGCCAAACTCTCCACTGTCCCTGTGCGCAGAGGCTACTGGGGGAACAAGATCAGCAAGCCCCACACCGTCCCTTGCAAGGTGACAGGCCGCTGCGGCTCTGTGCTGTTGCGCCTCATTCCTGTAACCAGGAGCACTGGCATCATCCCAGCGCCTGTGCCCAAGAAGCTGCTCATGATGGCTGGTAACCATGACTGCTACACCTCAGCTCGGGGTTGCACTGCCACCCTGTGCAACTTTGCCAAGGCCACCTTTGATGCCATCTCTAAGACCTACAGCTACCTGACCCCTGACCTCTGGAAGGAAACTGTATTTACCAAGTCTCCCTGTCAGGAATTCACTGATCACCTTGTCAAGACCCACACCAGAGTCTCCGTGCAGCGGACCCAAGCTCCAGCTGTGGCTACAACATACGGTTTTTATACAAGAAAAATAAAATGAATTAAGCTGGTTACTGTCTAAAAAATAATAATAATAATAAAAATGAGGTGGATACACCTATAACTTTATATAC